CAGCGCGAGCGCCTTCAGGCCGGGCCCGGCCGCCTCACCTGGCTGCTGCCCTGCGCGCGTCCCCCGGCCGGCGGTCCTTGGCGGCGGCGGCGAGGAAGGGAAGGAGGAAGAAGGGAGAGGAAGAAGGGACGGAGGGAGGGAAGAGGCGGAGTGGCCGTGGAGGGGCGGGCGCCGCCAGGCCGGGGGTCAGGGGAAGGGGTAGCCGAACGAGACGCGGCGGCAGCCGCCGGCGCAAACGCTGAGGAGCCGCTCAGGCGACCGCAGCCTGGCAGGAAGTGACGGGGGAGGGGCCGGCGCCCGCTCCCAGCCCCCGCCCGCCTCCATGCCCGGCCCCACCCCCACACGCACTCGGACCACAAGTTCCGGCGGGCGCTGCGGTAGCGCCTGCGCTCGCAAGGCACGCCGGGAGCCTGAACGGCTGCCGCGACCCGCCCTGGGCCCCGGAGCCGGCTGGGAGTTGTAGTTCTTGCGGGGGTGCCGCTGGGCCCGAGGTGGGGCTCCTACCTGCTTTCTACCATCTTCCAGCTTTTCCTTCGTTACTTCCTTCAGTCTCTCCGTTATTCCTTCTTCCTTAAGTGTTTACTAAGTGCCTGCTATGTACAAGGCACTGCAGCCAGACCTGAGAATAAGTGATGAACAGACAAAAATTCCTGCCCTCATGAAGCTTACATTCTACCCCTCAAAAAAACAAAGCCGTTGCGGTTCAGTCCATTCCGACTCCTAGCGACCCTACAGGGCAGAGTAGAGCTACTCATATAGTTACCGAGGAGAGACAGGTGGGTTTGAACTGTTGACCTTTTAATTAGCAGCCAGGCTCTTAACCACTGCCCCCTTCTAGTGGGGATAAAGCACAATAAATAAAATAAGTAATTTGTATCCAACCCCCCCCCCCCCGAAAAAAACCATTGCTATCGAGTTGATTCTGACACATAGTGATCCTATAGAACAGAGTAGAAGTGCCCTATATGGTTTCTAAAGAGCATCTGGTGGATGTGAACTGCTGACCTTTTGGTCAGGAGCCAAGCTCTTAACCAATGTGCCACCAGGGCTGCAGTGACTTTTATAGAGTGTAAAAAGACAATAAATGCCTTACACAAAAGGAGGGGGGATGCACAATAAATCAAAACCAAATAAGCAAATGAAATAACTTAAGAGAGCAATAAATACTATAAGAAAATGAAACAGACTTGTATGATAAACTGTGATTGAGGGGAGAGAATTAGCTAGGGCCCCTCTGAGAAGGAGACATTTGAGATAAGTCCAGAGCCATAAAAAATTTCAGGATAGAGCATTCCAGGCAGAGAAGGCTCTGAGGCAGGAAAGAATGTTCTGTAATAAGCATGTATTAATTTTACAAGAAGAAAATATTTTTTAGAAATGTTAGGACTGTTAGCTCTTGACTTGGTTAAGTAGAGAACCTAGACATCAACCTAGAGATCTTCTCAATTCCTCAAATCCACAAAGACTATGATTTGGGGTGTGGCCAAGATGGCAGAGTAGTCAGAAGCTTCCGGTGGATCCTCTTACAACAAAGACCGGAAAAAACAAGTGATTTGATTATATAGGGCAATCTGGGAGCCCTGAACATCAAAGGCAGAGTTGAGAAACCAGACTGAGTGTCAGGGGGAGGGAGAGACTGTTGGGAAGCAGCGAGGATTTTCCAGACCTGACCCAGCAAGAACCTGAGCCCTTCAGGCCTGAGCAGCTTGTGGGTGAGGGGTGAGGCAGGCAAGTGGCAGTGCTTGGGAGGCCGGTTTTCTGCACCAGGAGAGACCCAGCACCAGAGACTCTACATGGCCACCCAGAACCAGTGAGAAGCAGCCCTCATTGGCAAAAGATAAGTACTTGCGTACGGCTTACCATGTGGATCAAAAACACCCTCCTTAGGGAATAACCTCTCTCCCATTTACCTACCTGCTCCCTGCTCTTCACTGGGTCCTGGACCAGCTTCAGCAATTGCCGAAAACCCTGGGCCATGGGTAGGATCCGTCACACGCCCGGAGCCATTTTCCCGGCCTTGGAGAGTGAACAAATTAACAAACGGGGAAAAAATAAACTGCCGGCTCCCCTAAGCCAGGAACCCAGGGTAGGCATAGCTCCTTTGCCTGGGTACAGGCATAAGGGATCAATGGACTTTGAGTGCCTTTCCCCCTGCATAGACTTGTGTGGGCCCATCTCAACAGTGTAGGCCCTCATTACTGCAGTACAACAGGGTATATACCATACTCTAACTTCAACTGTTTCAGCTGTGACATGGCAGGTTCTTGACATTTGACACTGCTCTGCCCATTAAGCAGGGTCTTCACCTACTCACATCCGGGGTCTGAAGACTGGTGACTCCACCCACGCCACCTAGCCACCTGCAATAGGGGCCCATGAATAAGAGGCACCCCCTAGTCATAACAGCCAACAGCATTAGGTGCTCATAGTCTGGCTTCAAAACCCACCCACTTACACGCTATAGGGAACAGGGACACGGCTTCCTCCTGGACACTCAGGGGCAGCTGTCAGCCCCCTGCCTTGCTCAGAGTGTGTCCCCCTCCTGCAGCCAGATGCCTGTGCCTATACCAATCACTCATGCCTGTCTAGGACTGTAAGTGAGAGCCTACACCACACATCTGATGGCTATCTACCTGGGCACCTGAGCTGAACCCATACAGGAGGAGTGGGTGGACTTCTGAGCTCACATACCTAGTAACAGCTCTAACCACCTGGTGACAGGACATTAGAGCTTCAAAGGTGCCAATAATCAAACTAGCTCATACGAGCAGCCTGTTTGTGCATATCAAAACAAAACAAGATGATACGACACAGTAAGCAAACATAAAATAAATAAATGTAATAACTAATTGATGACTTGGAGACAACAGTCAATGTCAAGTCACATAAAGAGGCAATCCATGATGCCTTCAGCAAGCTCTGAAACTAAAGAATCTAGAAATTTTCCAGAGGAGGAATATTTCCTGGAATTACCGGAGGCAGAATACAAAAGATTAACGTACAGAACTTTTTAAGAAATTAGGAAGGAAATTAATCAAAATGCAGAACACGCAATAGAGGAAATAAAGAAGATTAGAAAGAGCATAATGACAAATTTAACAGGTTGCAAGAATCCATAGAGAGACAGCAATCAGAAATCCAGAAGACTAACAATAAAATTTCAGAATTAAACAACCCAATAGAAAGTCATAGGAGCAGAATTGAGGCAATGGAAGTCAGAATTAGT